TTCATCCTATGGAGATTTGAGGCACAACACATCCAAGTGCTCAGTATGTTTTCCAAGTTGTTGGGGGTCAGATCTCATGTAGTCAGTCATGTGGGATCTGGCTCCCAGTGCACAGCACTTAACCACTGCACAACAGGGATGGCCTGTGACTCTGGTTGATCCATTCTATTATAGGAGAGCCAGAGGCAACAGAAAGTGATTCTACAAAGGGATACAGCCCTAAAGAAAACTCCAAAGGCTTTAGGGTTTCAGTTTAGAGAGCAAGAATGACAGAAAGATTCAAGGTAGGATGAGAGAGCTGGCAGGAAAAAATATTTTAAAAACTTAAAAAGGTCTTATGTGTACATGAGCACTTCAGTGGTGGTTAGGAATAAACAAGGTCTCAGGAGAAAGCAAGAGCACACATCACTCCCCTCCTGACACTGGGATGTGGCTGTTGGTGCCTCCTGATCTGGACAGTTTGTGTGCCCCCAGATCCAAAGCAGAGTGTCCCTATGTGCTGTTACTAGCCACAGCAGGAGAGCCTGAGAAGTTGTCTGCTTCATGAAGTCATGTCTTTGTTTATTTCCTTTTGTTTCACCCATCAGAGTCCCATAAGTAATGAACTCTCAATTGGTAAAGCTATTAAATATTAGCACTCCAGCCAGATTCAGAATTTCACTTGAAACTTGTTAAAAACTGTGCAGGTCCTGAAAACTGCTACAAGCATGACTTCCTTCTCACTCTGAGGTGTCAGGGCTTCATTTTAGGTATTTGTGTGGCTTTTTAATAATTGCATTGAGCTTAGATATGCAGATAAACACAATGATATATAATCAAGAAGGACTCCAGAATGGAGGAGAAAAGTAGCGAAATCATCATTGAATTTACACATTCATTGACTTCAGTTGGCTCTATGAACATAGGTAGATGTCCCTTCCACATATGCACAAACATACTCTGGGATGTTAGACACACTTAGATGTCATACACATTTATTTAGGAAGCCAAACACTCAGCTTTACCACCTTCATCTGGATGTTACATCCAGTTATTCAGAGTTTGACACCCAGGAACTGCAGGACCTCATCTGGACATTGTGCACACCAAGATGCAGCCTGTACTTCCAGAGAGGTTAGCCACATTCACTCACATGCCACTCACATGCACTCTGGGCTCATGTTTTTGTTCATATGTGCACAGAGGACAGCAGGCATGGTCACTGAACTGTTGCAGACCTCCATGCAGATATGACATTCATCCGGTTGTGGCACATCTCTTTCCCATTTGCTTAGCTGGCCATTCCCATGCACCAGGAGATTCAGGGTAAGACTTACCATATTCAATGTGTTATATTTCCTTAGGGCATTCTTTCCATAGCTTATTTTAATTAACTAAATAGTCCTGACTGTCTTCACCCAAGTGTACTTCTTAAGGAGGATCTTTAGATGGATAATCCGATCAAAGGATGGCTGTCCCGGCCCGCAGGACAGTCGAACAGGTTTCCTGAGGGAAGGAGTGAGAGACGGGAAGAACGGCGCTCTGTCACAGCACGGAGATGATGCAGTGTCTCTTCGGGTTCGTCTCTTTATTGTGGGCAGCACGGAGACGACACAGTGTTAGAACTCTTCAGGGTTATCTAGAGACGACGCAGTGTCACAGCTCAGGGTCATCCGGAGATGACACGGTGTCACAGCTCTTCAGGGTCTTCAGGGTCGTCTGGTGATTATGGGCCAGAGATCGTGGTTATATACATGTTGGTAGGCTGTGATTGGTTGAATGAAGGATAGTAAAAGGTGGGTTATGATTGGTTGCTTTGTAGACCAATCATGAGGTGCCAGATATGCAAATCTGAGGGATTCTAAGCTCACTGATTTGCTATGGGAAGTGGCCAATCGGAGTATGGTTTTGAAGGTGAGGTGTTTGAAGGGGAGCCAATTGTGGCCTTTGTAATTGTTTGCTCTCTGAGCCTAAGATGGCAATAGTAAGAGACTCATGAAAATGGCCTCTCGGACTCACTGATGTGCAGTTTCCCACAGATGGCAAACTGTGCCATGATCCATTTTCATAAACCTTGTGCTTATTCACTCTGCCATTTTAAAATTATTGGTTTGTGGGCATTACTGCAATCGTCTCACTAATTCACAGTAGTCTCTTGTGAGGCACTCTTTAGCCAGTTGATCTCATATCTTAGATTATGAGTCTTTGAGATATGTGCAGTGAAGTTCTTCTGAAAGAAGAGCATTTACTCAAGAGAAACAGAACTAGGCATTCAAAGAGATGGGGAATTTTATCCAACTGCATGTACTTTAGATTAACTTACAGAGAGAGCCTACACATTTGGTATATAGGTGATGTTTAATAAAGGCTCAGTCATTTCTATTTATACACCAGCTCATTTTTTACATCCTTCTAAGTTGAAAGGAATGATATGAATACTAGGAGATCACTAGACAAGAGCTCAGGGAAATTACTGTTTATCTTGATCAGAGTTTCTGCAACTGGTCAGATTCATTTTCATACTTGCTTTCAGTTTTAATTCAATCCAATGTTATTCATTTGAACAAGCATTCATTGATCTTTTTTGGATGTCAGGCATCCTGCAGGGTAGTGTGGGTGTGGGGTGGGTGGGTGAGGATAGTGATAACTCAGCCACAACCACTATTTTCTGAAAGGTCATCGTCTAGCCAGAGAAACACCATCTCATGTTATTGCAAAACCAAGCAGATAGCAATTAGTGATCTGTAGGGGTAATAAGATAACTCATCTAGATTGGGAAGATCTAGACAGGCTTCATAGAGGATGTAAAATATTGGTTCAGCATGTAGGAAAAGGCTTCCACAAGCAGAAAAGGGCAGGATGGGAGTGTATTTCAGGGGGAGGAAGCATGAACTGGTGCTAGTGACAAGTGAGATTCAAAAGATGTTTGTGCAATAGCACAGGATGTAGATCAGCTGGAATAAAAAGGGGCGGGGGGTAGCATGAAGACCATCGGGAAGGAATACTGAAAACCTGGCACGAATGGCTTCAATTTTGTCAGAATGAGTGGCTTATATTATATAAACTGGACCGTGGAATGTCTGTAGAAGTGTTTGAAGAGGGACAGTGTTGTATGATTAGAAAGATCTAAACAAAACCCTAACTTGTTTCCTGGCTTAAAGTCTTAAGCAAAATTCTCTTAAATTTTTTTTATTTTGATTGATTAAAGCTAAATCTGTGTTTCTTGAAATTGAAAATACACTTAAAAATACCTGTTTAATGACCACAGTAAGCTATATAACCTCAGCTAGGTGCTACTCCTTAGTACATTCATTCTATTCACAGAGTTCCATGCCTAAAGTCAACATGTGTTCACAGATACGTATATATCAGCTGAACTTGCTACTGAAAGTAGTTAGATTCATTAAGATATTTTGTGAATCAATAAAATGTGGGAAAAATAAAGAAAGGAATGGAAAGCAACTGCATGTATCAGAGACAGTGTGGGAGGAGGGTGGGAAATGGCAGAGGAAATACATATATATATACACACACAAACATAAGAAACCAGAAATGGAAAATTATTTGTCAATAAGAACGTGTATGATTAAGCCACTATATAGTGTATTCTGGATGGGAAATCACATTTTGTATGCTTTGATGATGTTCAGTGAAAGAATGTAAAATAAATAAATTAATAAATAATCAATGCATCAACAAATTGATCAAATGAATTAGAGTCAAAGAGACAAGTAGAGTCCAGGTAAGAGTTGGGAAGGTGCCCCACCTAGGCATTAGTGGGAGGAGAAAAGAGGGTAGGGGCAGCATGAACCAGGTTAAGTCAACAGGGCTTGTTGGTTGGAGCTGCAATGTGAAAACTTCGGTGTTAGGAATTGGGGATGAGCCTGAAGTTTAGGGTCTGGCCACTTAATATATGGTGCCACTCTTCACTAAAGAAATAAATATAGAAGGAGAAGCAGGCAGATGTGTAGGGGTTGGCACATGTAAGTTTTGGACATGCCCAGGGTAATATCTAAATGGAGATAGGTTTCTACAAACTAGTAAGTTTGAAAATCTGATGTTCAGGAGGAAAGTTTAACTGTAGACAAAAGTAAAGAAGATATTTACATATGGGGGAAGTTGTATATACAGCATGAGAACTTATAAGCTCATTCTTCCAGAGTTGCTCATCTGCCTCTCCTCTTTCCTGTTCAGTGTTTATCAGTTGGTGGTCAAGGAGGAGAGACTTCAGAAGTCACGGAGGGCAGCTGACATCATCGAGTGCTTTTCAGTGCCTGTGAGCTATAGGAATGCCTCCAACATTGATTCTCTACATTACTTTGCTGCTGAATTGAAGCCTGCCAACCTGCCTGTCACCCAGCCATTTACAGTGGGTGACAATAAGACATACAATGGCTACTGGAACCCCCCACTCTCTCCACTGAAAAGCTATAGCATCTACTTCCAGGCACTCAGCAAAGCAAATGGAGTAAGTACAGCCACACAGAGGCCATTGTTTTTATTTTCTTGCCTTGTTTGTATTTTCTCATTCTCATAGAAGAGGATGGCTTTAGAACACAGGGTGACAAATTAAGGCCCATGAGTCAAATCCAGTTCCATGCTTTTGTTTGTTTTGTAATAGTTCTTTTTTTTAAATATAGCTATGCTTACTGATTTTCATATTATCTATGCTTGCTTCGATGCTTGAAATATAGGGTTGAGCAGTTGCAACAGAGATTGCATGCCCCACAAAACCTAAGCTATTTACTATACAGCCTTTTACAGAAAAAGTTTGCCAACTCCTATGTTAAAGTATGGAAAAGGTGCTTCAGTTGAGAAACTCACATGGCCAATCCAAATCTTGATTTCTTCATATGTAATGATAAAACCTATCAATTTGCTTTTCATAATGCACTAGGATGTGTACTTGATCAGTGATTATTACTTCCTTCGTTTTTAAAAAAAGTTCAGTTTTTCCATGAGGAAGAGAGACACAGAGGGAGAAAGCTTACCTCCAGCCATTCCCCACTGCTGTAATCCACCCCCAGCTTCAGCCAGACCCAGATCATAGCACACGTGTGACTGATGAACTCAGAAAGGTCTCAAGATGCAAACTTGTTACCTTCCCACAGGGCCGGCCTGACAGAGCATCTTATTTTGCCAGTGCACCACCATCCAACTTCCTCCTTTATTAATATCTTTAGTCATATTCAAAAATAGTTTTTCTCCTAAAGACAAGCTAATAATTTTTTTCAAATATTTCTTTGGCCAAGGAGTGTTACCAGTCATAACATCACAAAAAAATCACAGGGTTAGAAAGTATCTTAAAGGTCGACCAAAACTTGAGACACATACACACATACAGCTTCCATCAATATTACAACATCATAATAAACTGATATTAGTGCTTGTTCTTGCACACCTCCAGTGACAAAGAACTCATTTTGCTGATCTTTGAGGTGGTGAAAGAGGAGGCCTGTGTCTATAAGAAGGATTTTTAAAGTACTTACTTAAATATCTTTTTTATTGTAGGTCCTACCCATAGCTCTTGGTCTATATTCTTAGGGGCCTGTAGAACCAATGAATTACCTTCTTGGAGTTTTTTTTACCTGTTTAATGACCACAGTAAGCTATATAACCTCAGCTAGGTGCTACTCCTTAGTACATTCATTCTATTCACAGAGTTCCATGCCTAAAGTCAACATGTGTTCACAGATACGTATATATCAGCTGAACTTGCTACTGAAAGTAGTTAGATTCATTAAGATATTTTGTGAATCAATAAAATGTGGGAAAAATAAAGAAAGGAATGGAAAGCAACTGCATGTATCAGAGACAGTGTGGGAGGAGGGTGGGAAATGGCAGAGGAAATACATATATATATACACACACAAACATAAGAAACCAGAAATGGAAAATTATTTGTCAATAAGAACGTGTATGATTAAGCCACTATATAGTGTATTCTGGATGGGAAATCACATTTTGTATGCTTTGATGATGTTCAGTGAAAGAATGTAAAATAAATAAATTAATAAATAATCAATGCATCAACAAATTGATCAAATGAATTAGAGTCAAAGAGACAAGTAGAGTCCAGGTAAGAGTTGGGAAGGTGCCCCACCTAGGCATTAGTGGGAGGAGAAAAGAGGGTAGGGGCAGCATGAACCAGGTTAAGTCAACAGGGCTTGTTGGTTGGAGCTGCAATGTGAAAACTTCGGTGTTAGGAATTGGGGATGAGCCTGAAGTTTAGGGTCTGGCCACTTAATATATGGTGCCACTCTTCACTAAAGAAATAAATATAGAAGGAGAAGCAGGCAGATGTGTAGGGGTTGGCACATGTAAGTTTTGGACATGCCCAGGGTAATATCTAAATGGAGATAGGTTTCTACAAACTAGTAAGTTTGAAAATCTGATGTTCAGGAGGAAAGTTTAACTGTAGACAAAAGTAAAGAAGATATTTACATATGGGGGAAGTTGTATATACAGCATGAGAACTTATAAGCTCATTCTTCCAGAGTTGCTCATCTGCCTCTCCTCTTTCCTGTTCAGTGTTTATCAGTTGGTGGTCAAGGAGGAGAGACTTCAGAAGTCACGGAGGGCAGCTGACATCATCGAGTGCTTTTCAGTGCCTGTGAGCTATAGGAATGCCTCCAACATTGATTCTCTACATTACTTTGCTGCTGAATTGAAGCCTGCCAACCTGCCTGTCACCCAGCCATTTACAGTGGGTGACAATAAGACATACAATGGCTACTGGAACCCCCCACTCTCTCCACTGAAAAGCTATAGCATCTACTTCCAGGCACTCAGCAAAGCAAATGGAGTAAGTACAGCCACACAGAGGCCATTGTTTTTATTTTCTTGCCTTGTTTGTATTTTCTCATTCTCATAGAAGAGGATGGCTTTAGAACACAGGGTGACAAATTAAGGCCCATGAGTCAAATCCAGTTCCATGCTTTTGTTTGTTTTGTAATAGTTCTTTTTTTTAAATATAGCTATGCTTACTGATTTTCATATTATCTATGCTTGCTTCGATGCTTGAAATATAGGGTTGAGCAGTTGCAACAGAGATTGCATGCCCCACAAAACCTAAGCTATTTACTATACAGCCTTTTACAGAAAAAGTTTGCCAACTCCTATGTTAAAGTATGGAAAAGGTGCTTCAGTTGAGAAACTCACATGGCCAATCCAAATCTTGATTTCTTCATATGTAATGATAAAACCTATCAATTTGCTTTTCATAATGCACTAGGATGTGTACTTGATCAGTGATTATTACTTCCTTCGTTTTTAAAAAAAGTTCAGTTTTTCCATGAGGAAGAGAGACACAGAGGGAGAAAGCTTACCTCCAGCCATTCCCCACTGCTGTAATCCACCCCCAGCTTCAGCCAGACCCAGATCATAGCACACGTGTGACTGATGAACTCAGAAAGGTCTCAAGATGCAAACTTGTTACCTTCCCACAGGGCCGGCCTGACAGAGCATCTTATTTTGCCAGTGCACCACCATCCAACTTCCTCCTTTATTAATATCTTTAGTCATATTCAAAAATAGTTTTTCTCCTAAAGACAAGCTAATAATTTTTTTCAAATATTTCTTTGGCCAAGGAGTGGTACCAGTCATAACATCACAAAAAAATCACAGGGTTAGAAAGTATCTTAAAGGTCGACCAAAACTTGAGACACATACACACATACAGCTTCCATCAATATTACAACATCATAATAAACTGATATTAGTGCTTGTTCTTGCACACCTCCAGTGACAAAGAACTCATTTTGCTGATCTTTGAGGTGGTGAAAGAGGAGGCCTGTGTCTATAAGAAGGATTTTTAAAGTACTTACTTAAATATCTTTTTTATTGTAGGTCCTACCCATAGCTCTTGGTCTATATTCTTAGGGGCCTGTAGAACCAATGAATTACCTTCTTGGAGTTTTTTTTTTTTTTTTTTTTTTTTTGTTTTAGGGCGCGTGTGCTCACCAGACAGACAGAAACAGAGACAGGGAGACAGAAAGCGAGAAACAATCACACACACACACACACACACACACACACACACACCCC